TGATTATTTGTAACAATATTTCTCATTCAGGGTCACTGTGAGTTTGAGGAAGTGGCCGTTTACTTCTCCGAGGAGGAGTGGGACTATTTGATGTGATGTGATGATGTAGAATTACCAGACCCTCAGCTCTCTGGGTAAGGAAATCTTACCCTCGCTATAGGAAATCTGTCTCCCTGGATTTCTTTGTGTAACTAAAGAATAATTTCAATAGCATTAGATGAATTAATAACAGCATAATTAATTAATAATAATCTGATCATATACATACAGGATTCATCAGTTCGACACCTCCAATTAAATCCGTGATGGAGCAAGGAGAAGAACCACAGAAAACTAAGAGATCGGGTCCTGTTATTGCCGGGGCAGGTTAGTGATAAAACACGATCGGGTCCGGTTACTGCCGGGGCAGGTTAGTAATAAAACTCGATCGGGTCCGGTTACTGCCGGGGCAGGTTAGTGATAAAACTCGATCGGGTCCGGTTACTGCTGGGGCAGGTTAGTGATAAAACACGATCAGGTCTGCTTACTGCCGGGGCAGGTTAGTGATAAAACACGATCGGGTCCGGTTACTGCCGGGGCAGGTTAGTGATAAAACACGATCGGGTCCTGTTACTGCTGGGGCAGGTTAGTGATAAAACACGATCGGGTCCGGTTACTGCCGGGGCAGGTTAGTGATAAAACACGATCGGGCTTGGTTACTGCCGGGGCAGGTTAGTGATAAAACATGATCGGGTCCGGTTACTGCCGGGGCAGGTTAGTGATAAAACACGATCGGGTCCGGTTACTGCCGGGGCAGGTTAGTGATAAAACACGATCGGGTCCGGTTACTGCCGGGGCAGGTTAGTGATAAAATACGATCGGGTCCGGTTACTGCCGGGGCAGGTTAGTGATAAAACACGATCGGGTCCGTTAACTGCCGGAGCAGGTTAGTGATAAAACACGATCGGGTCCGGTTACTGCCGGGGCAGGTTAGTGATAAAACTCGATCGGGTCCGGTTACTGCCGGGGCAGGTTAGTGATAAAACTCGATCGGGTCCGGTTACTGCTGCGGCAGGTTAGTGATAGAACACATTCAGTGAGTAATTTCCAGTGACCATGGAAAGGCTTACACTTCCCTCTGATTCTGACGGGTTTTGCATCCAGGTTTGATTGGTAATACTAGCTCATACCACAGAAAACATTTGAGAGATTATTATCAGATTTTACCAAGTTCGTGACGTAAAGTCATGATTTTATTGAGGACACGGAGACGAATATTATGGTTTATCTCTTTCTTTATTCCTCAGCAGCAAAGAAAGGATATGAAGATATTGTACCCTCGAAGGGTTAACCATCTAACACATTTTCACCAATGAGAGCAGTCCACATTCCATATACTCACTCCCATGTGACCCTAAACCACTCCTCTTTCTTGGTGATGTCTGTAGCGGAGTGCTGGTCTCTCACAGATTATCTCTGCTGGTAATCCAAATAAGGCTCAGGAACAAGCAATAAAACCCAAGAGTATTATATCCACGGTTAGTAAAGCAATCCAAAAGTATCACATTACGTTTCCCAATGACTGGACGACACACAGCATCAGGAGAAAAACTGAAGGTTTATTCACACACTCAGCTTTTAAGCAATTCTCCCATGCAAGGGAGACACCCACAGTAATTTTTACAGTAACCAATAAAATAGTTGCCTCCCACACATCTCCTCCCCTCAGCATGACACATAATCGACTTAATCAGTGTACATTATTTCCCCAGTTCCTGGATGTACCCCAAATACATAGGGTACACCCCTAAATATGGTATCCCCTGATAGCCCTGATCTGGGAATCACCCAGATCGGACCAGGGGTTCGGGAGTTATGGAGGAGTAAAGTTTTAACCGACCGCATAGGCAACAGTAGCCGAAAACAGTCCCATAAGTTTTGGCCTTGCGGTCGGTCTCTGTTTGTGGGTACAAACGGATGAAAATTCCAAATGAAGTAGCTGTTGCTTGCTTTCATGTGAATCCCCTTGTTTGTATGAGTCTTTCTACCGAATGGCGGCTCGTTCGGTTGTTTCAGCACGAAGATATAGAGGTCTCAGCGGTGTTTGCTTAGTCGAGTGTCCAATTTGGGTTCCAGACACTCGAAGACCAAACACTGCTGTTCAAGAGTTAAGATGCCACCCATAGCACAAAGTACTGATTGCCAATTAGGGGTTTGCAACATTGAGAGGCGAACGGTAATGAGAGGCACACTTTTCCCGGGGGGTGGTCTGATTGTTCGTTAGTTTCACTCGTATAATAAACGTAGTGATTTTACAATGTGAACACAGAATAAGCAATACACGAAAGCATATTAAAACACACAAATCTTGAGGACAGCCTTAATGCAATCCGCTACAATGCGAAGCCAAATGATCAACAAAAACTGAAGATAAGAAAAACTGAATCAACACAACCAGACAGTTGAAAACAGAGAAACTGCTATGTTCTCATTGGGGTTAATCCAGCTTCTAGTGGCTGTCTCCTTGACAGCTGCTAGAGACGCTGACGTTCATAGGAAAGCATTCCTAAGTAATGCTTTCCTATGGACTGATTAAATGCGCGCGGCTCTTGCCGCACATGCGCATTCAGCAGATGACGTTGGAAGAGGGAGGAGATTTCTCCAGCGCCGAGGGAGCCCAGCGCTGGAGATAGGTAAGTGATTGATTAACCCCTTTCTCCCCCTTCATCCCGGCGGGAGTGGGAACCTGAGGGTAGGGGGACCTATTAACACTATAGTGCCAGGAAAACAAGTTTATTTAAGCATATCGCAGTTAACTATTCTATTCTGATTTAAATCAATACCATTAGTGAACCTTGATGGGGGGGGGGGACGAGACGAAAAACATACCTGTATCAGGCAGGCTAATATTCGCCTCCATTTCCTTTATAAAATCATGACTTTACGTTATGCAATTAGTCAAATTTGGTAATTTTGTTAATGGACACAGAAGCTCATATTATGCTAGTTCAAAGCTTTGAAATAACTATAGAGGAGACCTGTTTTGTTGGACGAAAGTAGTATTTTTTAAACATCAATTCACGAGACCAATCAGCCGTTCGAAGAAGGTCTTCCAGTTTACAACCCAAAGTGAAAGCTTTGGAAGCCATGGCACCTCTAGTAGAATGTTCACCATAAACTGAAGTATCTATGTTAGCTGAAGACATAATCCATTTTACCCAGCGGGCTAACGTCACCGTAGATACGGGATGCTGGGGTAGTCTAAGAGCCAAGAACAACTCGTGGCGCGTCAGGTCCCTGAACGACTGAGTCTGTATTTCATATTCCTGTATACAGGCCACCGGGCAGAAGTTAACATTGTGAGGAAACAAGGGATAGAAGACCGAAGTAATCAGTGATTTTGTACGTCTGGAAATATTGAAAGAAGCACCGGTAGGAATAAAGGAACGTGCGTCAATATCCAACGCTGAAACTGTTGCATGATATCAAACACAAGAGCAAGGCCAATTTTGCTGACTGCTGTTTGAACGTGAGTTCTACATTCCTGGGCCAAGCTTCAAACAGTTTAAGAACCAGATTCATATCCCATTATGAAGTGTATCGAGGTATAGGTGGACATGCAAATCTAATGCCCCGACATATTGATACATCCTGACACCAGTAAGCCTTTCATACTGGAGGTCGATGCTTCAGAGACAGGGGTAGGGCCAGGAAACTGTTATATCCTTGTGGTTACTTTTCTAGAAAGTTGTCTCCTGCTGAGCGCGATTACGATATTGGCAATAGAGAATTGTTGGCCATTATTCTAGCTCTCAAGGAGTGGCGACATCTTTTTAATGATCACAAACACCTGGCTTACATAGGAAATGCCAAGCGATTATCTTCTAGACAAGCTAGGTGGTCTCTATATCTTTCTCGCTTTAATTTTCTTATAACTTATAGACCATGGTTCTAAAAATGTCAAGGCCGAAGCCTTGTCCAGTCAGTTTGATACTGAGGCTATACTAGAGCAAGAAACATCCCATATCATTCCCATAGAATGTATCATTGCGTCCACTGTCCTTTCATTGTCCTCTCCACTGCTTGGCTCCTTCATGGAGGCTCAGTCTCAGACGCCCTGCGGTAAACCTCCGGACAAACTGTTCGTTCCATTGGGGGAAAGGGTTAATATCATAAGGTATTTCACGACAATGTATCTGCTGGTCGCCCAGGTATTAATAAATCCACTTCTGCTATCATGAGGTCATTCTGGTGGAATTCCCTCAGGAAGGATGTTAGACGAGAAATTGTCCATCTGCATGGCATTCCTCACAATATAGTATCAGATAGAGGTTCTCTGTTTGTGTCCCGATTTTGGAGGGCCTTCAATAAACAATTAGGCATTGAATTGTCTTTCTCATCCTCTTACCACCCCTAGACCAATGGTACAGCTGAGAGGGCTAACCAGTTCTTGGAATTATATTTGCGTTGTTTCGTTACTAGCACTCAAGACAATTGGTCTGAATTATTACCATGGGCCGAGTTTGCTAGGAACAATGCTGACCGTGACTCCTCTGGGCATAGTCCATTTTTTTTGTTAATAATGGCCGGCATCCTACTGTCCTACCGGCTGTTTTTTATGATACAGCTATACTTGCTTTGGATGACTGTCTGGCTTCCATCCGTAATACCTGGGTTAAAGTTCAATCTGCTCTGGGTACTGCTGCTGATCGTTTCAAGCATTATGCTGATACACGTCGAGGTGCCAACCCTGTTTACCAAGTGGGTGAGAGGGTTTGGTTATCTTGTCGAAACATCAGGCTCAAAGTCCCTAGCATGAAATTTGTTTCTAGGTTCCTTGGACCTTTTTGTGTCCTTCGTAGGCTCAATCCTGTTGCGTACTCTCTGGCCCTTCCTCCCTACTTGAAAATGCCTAATACGTTTCATGTGTCCTTACTCAAACCTCTTGTTTGCATTAAATATACTGTCTCAAGTGTCCCTCCTCCTCAGTTGTTTCTGGACAGGAAGAGTATGAGGTCTCCTCCATAATTGATTCCAGGTTTTCTCGGGGCACTTTATGGTACTTGGTGGATTGGAAACGTAATGGACCAGGCAATCGTTCTTGGGTTCCGGCATCTGATATACATGCTGGTTGCAAGATTCGCTATTTTCACGCCAAGTTTCTTCTCAAGCCTGGTCCTGCCCGCCCGGTGGGTGTTCTTCAGGTGGGGGGGTAATGCCACGTATTCATCCGCACATAAAAGTGGGATTAATGGCATTTACTGTCCTGACAGGAAAAGTTGTGCCGAGCAGCAATCAGTCCACATGAGTATTTGCGCTGAGTAGCAATCATGCAAATGGGAACCTGGTAACTGCCTTTGGGGTCAAAGGCTGGTTACAACCAATCAGATCCACAGGCGAGGTATTTAGGCCCAGTCCTCCTCTTGCTCAGTGCCCTGTCGTGGTTTCCCTTGTGGTTGTCCACAAGCGCGTTATTGATTCTGGTTATTTGATTTTGGCATTGATTTTGACTTCCCTTTTTTCTGGCATCCCTGACCCTTGGCTTCTCCTTATCGTTGTGTCTCTTTCTGTATCCCTTGACCTCGGCTATTCCTGACTATTCTTTGGTACGTTAGTCTGGCCATTCTAAGGTCCGGTATACGTTACCTATCAGTCCTCTGTGTTACACAATTTGACGTGCTGGATCATACTGTAATCCTGACAGTATGTTGTGTTTTGGGGTGTTTTCTGTACTTTTGGGGAAAATGTGTGTTTTTCTGCCAGTGGATAATTGGGTTATTGTATTATCTACATTCATTATATCACAGGCAGAGGGGAGGGATTGTGTGCTGTATGTGGGTGTGTCAGACATTGTTATATTTGTTCTTATTGGTCTGTACAGTTTGTAATGCGGTGTTCCATCAGGTCCAGGAGGTGTGCCTCTGGCCTGAGGAATTGTATAAAGTCTAACCTGAACCATTAAAGCTCAGATCATCTTGCATCTTCATGGCTCATGTTTGGGGGATTGAAGAACTGCACTCTGGGGGTTTGCCATAATCGCTATACTCCCCTGAGTATTATCACTAAACTCTTATAAGAGCTGTTCCTGTTCCTGCTCTCTGGACTAAGAGAGGTCTACCCACTGGGAGCTGGATCCTGGTCTTGGATCCAGGGTGGGTGGAGGACAGCGAGACTCCAACCAAGTTGCGGAGGTTTGTGGGGTCTACAGTACTTATGGTGTCTGGTGGAGTGCTTGGAGCCCTCGGAAAGCACTAGGAGCATCGATTTGATGGAGGTACCCGGTCGGGGTGCAGGCGGTCCGTCAGACACAGGGGTTCCCCCAGCTGGTCCAGGATAGCAGAGTCGTCCGAAACTTCCTTGGCACTAATTACCGGTTTTGCAGACAAGCTGCGAACAGGAGATGAATTCTCTGAGTCAATAGAGCTGATCACATTGGACTCCTCAGAATCCAAACCAGAATCGAAGAACCAGCCAGTTATCCATGTCTGCACCACTTTTGCCCGGTGTGTGGCTCTTACGTGTACAATTTTGGAGGTATATTGCCCAAATCAGTGGCGTACACATGACCCACGGGGCCCCGGTGCAAAAATTGATCCGTGGGCCCACCCGCGCGCTTACTCGGCGCGGGTCGGGGTCGCAACACATGGTGGCGGGCACCTGGTCGCAGGGGTTGCAGGGCTGCGACCCCGCGACCGCGGTATGCACACACACTTAAAGGACCACTACAGACACCCAGATCACATCAGCTCAATGAAGTGGTCTGGGTGCCAGGTCCCTCTAGTTTTAACCCTGCAGCTGAAAACATAGCAGTTTCAGAGAAACGGCTATGTTTCACTGAGGGTTAATCCAGCCTCTGGTGGCTGTCTCATTGACAGCTGCTAGAGGAGCTTCCATGATTCTCACTGTGAAAATCACAGTGAGAAGACACTGAACGTCCATAGGAAAGCATTGAGTAATGCTTTCCTATGGGCGGTTTAAATGCGCGCGCTCCTCTTGCCGCGCATGTGCATTTCGGAGCTGAGTGGCGGACACTGGGGAGTCCGACGCTGGAGAAAGGTAAATGCTGAAGACACACACACACACTCTCACGAACAGACGCATACACACTAGCTAACAGACACACACATTTACTGACAGAGACACTCAGCGACAGACATACATACACACACTTACAAAACATACACTTTCACTGACAAACACACACTCACTAACAGACATCAAACACACTCAGTAACAGACACACACAGTAACACACTCACTAGCAGACACACACCCAATAACAGACACATTCACTGACACACACACTAACACACACATACACTAACACACACACATGGGGTCCAGTGGTGGTGCTGGGCTCCTGGTCACTGGGTGGGCGGGCTGCCTGCCTGGCCGGCCGGCGCGCGAGGGAGCACTTTCCCCTGTGTGCTCCCTCGCGCGCCGCGTAGGGATGCCGGAGACGGAAGATGACGTCATCTTCCGGCTCCGGTATCAGTGCGGTGCGCGAGGGAGCTGAAGAGGAAGCACTGAGTGCTCCCTCGCGCGCCCGCCTGCCCGACCGGCCACCTGCCCGCTGGGGTCAGCAGGGCCAGCCTCGGGGGGCCCTGAGGTGGCCGCCTCCTGGGCCCCCCAGGGGAAGAGGCTGGCCCTGTGGGTACATACCGGGTCGCAGGGGCGGCCGGGCCCCCTGGTGGGCCGGGCCCGGTCGCAGCCGCGACCCCTGCGACCCTGGTATGTACGCTACTGGCCCAAATAGTCGGTCTTTTTTGTATTCTTACAGCCCCTAGGGACCACCGGTTTATCATCAGAGGCCTTAGGGATTGTCAAGCCAGAAGCGTGGCTAGATGCCATGATCGCATTCGTAATGGAGTGGGACAAATTGTGCGACATAGCAGTGTAGATGGTCTGGGCGACTGATTTGGTGTCCGGATTACAGAATGATCCAGCACGTAGAATTGTGTAACACAGAGGACTGTTAGGTAACGTATACCGGACCTTAGAATGGCCAAACTAACGTACCAAAGAATACTCAGGAATAGCCGAGGTCAAGGGATACAGAAAGAGACACAACAGTAAGGAAAAGCCAGGAGTCAGGGATGCCAGAAAACAGGGAAGTCAAAAACAATGCCAAAGTCAAATAACCAGAATAACCCAAATCAACAACGCACTCTCGGACAACCACAAGGGAAACCACGACGGGGCACTGAGCAGGATGAGAACTGGGCCTAAATACCCCTCCTCTAGATCTGATAGGCTGTAACCGGCCTTTGAATCACATTTGTATAAGCGGATGAATACGTGACATTTGGTCATTTTAGCGTCCAGGAGCAAGTGGAACTCCTCAGAGTTCATCTGCTTAAGTGACGCTTCATCCTCCCCAGACTGGGTAGGGTGTGTAGATGGAACAGGGGGCAGGCGTTGCCTACTGGCATGAACAGAGGCATTAGGACTATTTGTGAAGGGATGCCCCTTCACCATTCAGCTATTTGCATTAATTTCTACTATCCAATCCAAGTTAATTCGTTATTTCACTGGTCCATTCGTTATGTTGTTCAGTTCCCGAACCGAGACCACCCAGAGACTAATTAGAACTTAGAACACTGTGTATCTTGTATGAAAACCGCAGACTAATTGAGTGCTTCCGAATGCTGCCTGCAGCACTTTATCTCGCTGGCTCAGAGGAGCAGTTTATGTACTGTATAAATTGAATGCCTGTTTTTCCATTAAACCAGTCTTGTCCCAGCATTAAGCTTTGTCTCATGTGTGGGTTATTATGCGACACCAGCATATTGGAACCTGTGGATTATTGGCGTATTATTCTTACGGGAAAAGGGTATGCAAGATGGGGATATCGTCACTGACCGTCACAGTATTAACCTCCACATTAGAAGGGGCCTGCATGGTGACAGAGTATTGTGAAAATAGTAACTCTCCACACTAGGGATGAATTTGGGTAATATCCTGTCACAGAAAGAAGGGAAGGGGCTGAGAGCAGGGGAGCTGTTACAGACAGTGTTCAAAGGGCAGAGCACATTACAGCACAATGCACAAAAATACTATAGTAGACTAGCTTACCGAGTGTTCCCTCAGGAATAGCTTCTGGAGAGCACTGTTAAGCTGCTCAACCACACAGGCAGCCAATCAACTCACGCAAAACAGAGGGCCCTGCTCCTAGACAGCAATGGAAATGAAATATGTATGAAAAAGAACAAAACTATTAACTAGGCAGTGAAACCAATAAATGTTAGCCAAAACACAGAAACAGTGACAGCAAAAAAAAATGGTACTTAGCTAAGGCAGCAGCAAAGAAAAAGGAGTGGCTTAGGGTCACATAGGAGCATATGGAATGTGGACTGTTCTGATTGGCTAAATGTGTTATATGGTTAACCCATTGAGGGTACTTGGTTTTTTTTTTCTATCAGTATCTTGATATCCGTTCTTTGCTGCTGAAGAACAAAGAAAGAGACAAAGCATAATATGAGCCTCCATGTCCTATTAGTAGAATTCCAGCCTTCTTCCATGACGTGTGTTGGGAAGATCCTTTACTATATCAAAACGTTCCTAAATGGTTTGATGTTACAACAGAAGCACGAGGACCGGTGATCTTTGTAGACCAGTGATCTTCCTAGACCGGTGACATCTGTAGACCAGTGATTTTCCTAGACCGGTGATCTATGTAGAGCAGTCATCTTCCGAGACCAGTGACCTCTCTAGACCGGTGACCTCTCTAGACCGGTGACCTCTCTAGACCAGTGATCTTTGTAGACCAGTAATCTTCCTAGACCAGTGATCTTCCTAGACCGGTGACCTCTCTAGACCAGTGATCTCTCTCAGGTCAAGGCACACATTCAGGAGATAAACTTTTCCAAGGCTTACTTTTTATTATGTTTAATCTTTATTAGAAGCTCATAAATGTTACTTTGACTTGAAGCCTTACTAGGGTGATTTGTATACTTCTGGACAAATTTACTTACTAGTTTTACTTGGCAGCTGAAAATCACAATGCTGATTTAAAAAAAATATAGAACTGCTTTTAACATTTACACTTCTGAAATGAGGATCTTTATGGCACACTTTGAGTTGGCTTAAGGCATCGGGGGGTACCACAGAACTCTGGTTGAAAACCACTGCTCTACTACAATACTGAGCAGTAATGATTATGTTGCTTAACAAGTATTTCCTTTTCATATTTTTTAGCTATTGATTTAATTCCTGGTACTTTTTTATAGATTGCTCAATAAAAAGTCCTTCTGATCAATGTTGCCAGGATGGAAGTGCACCAACCAAGAGAAGAAAGACCCAGGGATCCAATTCAAATGAAAAAAGTAAATTCCTCAGAATCCTATGTGTCTCCAAATCCGACAGAATACAGAGCGGCAAAACCTTTTAATGTTCTGAGTGTGAAAACCTCTCACACGTGCTTTCTGGGACTTCATGGCTCCATCAATAGTTTGGCTGGCTAGGTTACCTACATACATGTGCCAGTACACACGCTCACAGGTCTAAGTTACTTAAACCAATAGTTGTGACACAGTTACTTAGATATTTAAAATCATTTCAGGATTATTTTTTTTCATTTTGTGAATGCCAATTTAACAAGTGTCACTAACTAAAAGATGATGAGCAAAGGGATGGATTCTCTGCTGAACTAGAGTCTAGTCCAATAGGCAAGCAAATTAATATTTTATAGCCTTTGATTTCATTTATTTCCTGGTACATTTCTTTCAGATTGCTCCACAAACAGCAGACCTTCTGAAGAATGTTGCAAGGATATGAATGCATCAAGAGAGACTACAATGTCCAAGGACTTTAGTACAGGTAATAAAAAGTTTACTTCTCAGAATTCTATGTTTCTCCAAATAAGACGGAATACAGAAGAATACAATCTTTGCATGTTCTGAATGTGTATACCTTACGTAGGGGCCTGCAGTAAAACGTCCTAGCCAGTTTGGCAGTCTGTCCTGGGATTAGATGTTGTAGGGTATGTCTGGCTTAGCTGCCTGGTTACCTTTAGGTTTATTTTGTGAAATGTTACCATCTATGGTTTTTTTGGTTCAATAAAAACCTTGTTTGAAATTATTGGTAAAACGCTGAGGGTTTCTGCTTTCATCTCCATGTGGGATTAAGAACAGGGTCTCGCCTTATCTAGTACCCGAGTTTCAAATAAGTACCAAGTGATTTGCTATTACCTTTCAAGAGACTGACATTGGGCAATACCATTTCTAGGTGCATCCTGAGGTTTGTGTTACAATGTTTGGGAGGCAAGATGGAGAAGAATAGTCTGCTAATATGTTATACATTCTACATCCACAGAATTAGCGATTCAATTTTAATATCTCTACTCAGACACCAGTCTTCTAGTCCATCCTTTTGTTGTGGAGTAGGCACTCTGCAGTTGCTGTAGCTTGGGATCCATATCCGTGAAATTGTTATGGACAGTCACTGTCTTTCTCCACTGCTTTGACTCTACTGCTTACTGTGTGAATTTTTTCTAGAATACTCTACAAGGGGATGTGATTGTTTGTGTGCAGGTGATTGAAAAGGGAAGCGGCTATAAAGATTTTCTTCCCTTAAGCTGCCCCTCCTTGGCACTGCCATCTTCTCACTGGCATGACATCATCTACAAAGAGCCATCATCACTATTGTACTCTTGCACAAGTACAAACAAAATCTATAGAGGATCTTGCAAGACTACAGGCTCTTCTCTAGCTAATATCATGGATGTGCAATAATGTATCATAGGCATTTGTTGTACATCACACAAGTTACTCTACAATCTGTTCCCATTCGCTGCTGCAACTGACCGCTAATGATAAATAGTGTAAACTCTACCTTTTGCCAAAGTCTGGCAGTTATATAAGGCATAGTAATCTCTACTTTGTACTGTCTATATGTTTCGATTGAGTTGGAATTTCAATATAATTCCAGCAGAGTCTGAAAGCCTTTCACAAACATTCTGTCTTGATGAAAAGAACTTCCATTTCAATACTAAGCAATTGATGAATATCCTCCATAAGATCCAGGATCCATGATATCACCCATCCTTGGTGACCAGAGTCTTTTGATTTGGTACAGTTGAAGTTGTGGATTATCTCTGTAACTGGCATTCAATCCATTCTCCAAGGGAGGAGACAACGCATTAGACGCTGCCACTATTTTTGGACTCAGACTGCCATTCAGTATTCCTTATTCCAAAAGATACAGCACCATCTATTGGTTAAAGCCTGGTTATCTACATTGGCAATTATTTATACATTTTGTGAAATTCATGATTTTATAGTATATATATTCCTTTGTTCTATTATATGCTTATGTATTATGCACAATTTTGAATCTATCACAATAAGTTACTTGGAGTGTTGTTAAAAGGTAAACCCAGTTCAAAAATAAATAATCCAATTAGTTCCTTTTGGAACATTGTCCAAATATGGTCCTTTTCAGGAGCCCAAAGTCTAATGGCCTGTCTTCTGGCTGCACTGCTCTCTGGTATTTGGGATTGGCTAAAGAGTCCTAAGATTTGTGGGCAAAAGAGCTAGGCATCATAGCCAAAAAGTGTCTTTATGAAGACGGTGACAGACAGAGAGGGATCGATTCCTGCCTGAGAAGACCGAGCTGCGTTGGGGCTGATTCCTGTCTGAAATATGGTTGGGGTTCCCGGTGCCAGAGGAGAAGAGATGGACAGCGTAGAAGAATATGTCTAGATCCCATGTCGGGGACCAGTCACCCTGTTACAATGCCAGATTAGTGTTCTCAATTTGAGATGGATTTTTGGCAGAAACACTCAAAACCATTACTTGAAAAGCAATTATAGGAGCACTATAAGATCAGGAACACAAACTTTTATTCCTGACCCTATAGTGTTAAAACTACTATCCCGCTCCCCTTTACTCCCCTAATTATAGTAAATGTAAATTTATTTGTCTGCTGCAGCTGGCTCTGCCCCGATCTGCCTGCCTGGCTGACTTCATCAGAAGTGATTCTGTAAGCCAATCAGAATGCTTCCCCATAGGATTGTCTGAGACTATCAAGGAGGCAGAGGCAGCACAAGTAAAACACCACCCTGGCCAATCACAGTGCTTCCCCATAGGATTAGCTGAGACTGACAAGGAGGCAGATCAGGGGCAGAGCCAGCACAATTCAAACACAGCCCTGGCCAATCAGCATCTCCTCATAGAGATACATTAATTCAATCAATCTCTATGAGGAAAGTTCAGTGTCTGCATGCAGAGGGAGGAGATACTGAATTTATTGATGCATTTTAGGCAGCCATGACCCAGGAAGGATCTCTAACAACCATCTGAGAAGTGGCCAGTGAAGTTATCACTAGGCTGTAATGTAAACACTGCATTTTCTCTGAAAAGACAGTGTTTACAGCAAAAAGCCTGAAGGGAATGATTCTACTCCCCAGAACAAAATTAATACGCTGTAGTTGTTCTGGTGACTATAGTGTCCCTTTAATGTTTTTGGGGGTTTGTTTTACCAGTTGACTTCTTTTAATTCTCTGTACATTTCTTTCAGATTTATCCATAAAAATAAATATTTCTACAGGGAGTGCAGAATTATTAGGCAAATGAGTATTTTGACCACATCATCCTCTTTATGCATGTTGTCTTACTCCAAGCTGTATAGGCTCGAAAGCCTACTACCAATTAAGCATATTAGGTGATGTGCATCTCTGTAATGAGAAGGGGTGTGGTCTAATGACATCAACACCCTATATCAGGTGTGCATAATTATTAGGCAACTTCCTTTCCTTTGGCAAAATGGGTCAAAAGAAGGACTTGACAGGCTCAGAAAAGTCAAAAATAGTGAGATATCTTGCAGAGGGATGCAGCACTCTTAAAATTGCAAAGCTTCTGAAGCGTGATCATCGAACAATCAAGCGTTTCATTCAAAATAGTCAACAGGGTCGCAAGAAGCGTGTGGAAAAACCAAGGCGCAAAATAACTGCCCATGAACTGAGAAAAGTCAAGCGTGCAGCTGCCACGATGCCACTTGCCACCAGTTTGGCCATATTTCAGAGCTGCAACATCACTGGAGTGCCCAAAAGCACAAGGTGTGCAATACTCAGAGACATGGCCAAGGTAAGAAAGGCTGAAAGACGACCACCACTGAACAAGACACACAAGCTGAAACGTCAAGACTGGGCCAAGAAATATCTCAAGACTGATTTTTCTAAGGTTTTATGGACTGATGAAATGAGAGTGAGTCTTGATGGGCCAGATGGATGGGCCCGTGGCTGGATTGGTAAAGGGCAGAGAGCTCCAGTCCGACTCAGACGCCAGCAAGGTGGAGGTGGAGTACTGGTTTGGGCTGGTATCATCAAAGATGAGCTTGTGGGGCCTTTTCGGGTTGAGGATGGAGTCAAGCTCAACTCCCAGTCCTACTGCCAGTTCCTGGAAGACACCTTCTTCAAGCAGTGGTACAGGAAGAAGTCTGCATCCTTCAAGAAAAACATGATTTTCATGCAGGACAATGCTCCATCACACGCGTCCAAGTACTCCACAGCGTGGCTGGCAAGAAAGGGTATAAAAGAAGAAAATCTAATGACATGGCCTCCTTGTTCACCTGATCTGAACCCCATTGAGAACCTGTGGCCATCATCAAATGTGAGATTTACAAGGAGGGAAAGCAATACACCTCTCTGAACAGTGTCTGGGAGGCTGTGGTTGCTGCTGCACGCAATGTTGATGGTGAACAGATCAAAACACTGACAGAATCCATGGATGGCAGGCTTTTGAGTGTCCTTGCAAAGAAAGGTGGCTATATTGGTCACTGATTTGTTTTTGTTTTGTTTTTGAATGTCAGAAATGTATATTTGTGAATGTTGAGATGTTATATTGGTTTCACTGGTAATAATAAATAATTGAAATGGGTATATATTTGATTTTTGTTAAGTTGCCTAATAATTATGCACAGTAATAGTCACCTGCACACACAGATATCCCCCTAACATAGCTAAAACTAAAAACAAACTAAAACTACTTCCAAAAATATTCAGCTTTGATATTAATGAGTTTTTTGGGTTCATTGAGAACATGGTTGTTGTTCAATAATAAAATTAATCCTCAAAAATACAACTTGCCTAATAATTCTGCACTCCCTGTAAAGAATGTTGCAAGGGTCGAAATGCACCAGTGGAGGATATGAATACCACATACTCTATTTTAAGTTAAAAAAAAAAATAATTTCTCCGAATAATTAATCCGAATACAGTGCAGCATAGCCTTTTCATGTTTAAAATATAAAAACTTTATGTAAGGGGGGCAGCAGGTGATGCCCCTAAATTAAAGGAACAGTTCGAGCACCATAACAACTAGCTTGTGCTAGTCGCCACCACTTCTGCAGTCCAGGCGTTCCCAGAGCTAGGCCTGCAGGGTTTAGATCGTTTACGAAGAATTCTAGCCCTGTGGGGCTTAGCTCATTAGAGCTAACAGAAGCTCCTTCTGGGAGTATTAATCCAGATTGAAACCAGCAGGACATAATACGTTTGGACACCTAGTTAACTATGCTAGTACTCACAATCACAAGTTTATGTTAAAAGGACACTGTAGGCACCACAATCACTTTCACTCATTGAAGTGGTTATGGTATATGAAGTTCCCCATTGCTGTCTCACAGTTCAGGATCTCAATCAGTTTGATGTCTAAGAAGGCCATCCCCCCATTGAATACCAGTTCAAGCCAGTGGTGGGCAGTAATGACAGGACACTCAGCTGACATTCTCAGCCTTGCCCAGCTGCTTACAAGTGGTTATGGTTCCTAGAGTGTCCCTGTAATAAAACCTATTTTTGTGAGACGGAAACTTTAGATTTTTTTCTTGTATGTTGAATTAAAGGAGCATTCTAAGCAGTCCAACCCTTCCAGCTCACTATTGTGGAAATATCAGTGCCTTAGATCTGGGACACTCCACCTTGACAGCAAGTGTTCCTGGCGACACAACTAATGATCTATATCTGCCTACCTCACATACTCATAGATTGTAAGCCTTTTCCACGTTCTATAATTGTAAAGCACTGCGGAATATGTAGGTTGCATATAAATAAGATTAATAATTTCATGTAAACACGGGATTGAATGAATAATACAGACTTAACATTATAAATGACAATCTTGTCCATCTCCCACAACATTGATTAGGTGAAAGTGAAAGTAGGATAGTCCAGCGCGTTCAACCAATCAATACTGCGACAGAGCTCCCTGTACCCCGGCTGGGTACCTTCGCCATGGGTCTTCTTCCTAGCTGTGGCTGAATAGGGGAACTAGCTCTGTTCGCTCCCAGGGGCTGGACGGCACACGGTCCTGGGAGCTGTAGTCCTGGGCAGGAGGGGGGCATGGGTTACAGATAACCATCTCCCTCTCTGGGAGATACCAACAGGACACAGTTACATACATTAAAACGTATTACACACAGGGGGGAAGCTTAGGCATTTGCGGGAAGGGGTTACACATGTAAAACATATATCACTAGATAGCCCCAGGTCCCAACTAGGATCCCTGCAAATAGCTGGGTAATCGGATGTACAGAGCTCGAGAAACCATCGTACAAAGTCAGGGCTTGAGGCTCTGTAAATCCCCGAAAATTAGTTACACAGCGTTGCTTGGTTTAGTCCGGTTAATTCAAACTTCGCGCATAAACCAAGCAATAGCCAATCCGAAAAAGGGGCGCGAACCAAATCGCGCCTATCAGCGCTCAGGGAGAAGAGGGGTTTTGCCGCCCAATCAGGAGAAAGGGCGCAAACCCAGTTTGAATGGGAGCTCCTTTTCTGATTGGTCGGCACGGACCTCCAGGCGACCAGTGGGACTCTGCGGCTGTGAAGCCGACTTACAGCTCCCGGGTTTGCGCTGGGGCTCGCGTCTCTCTCCAGTGGCTACCTCCACTTAGGTAGCCCTGGGGAGATCGCTCTCTGGGCAGCTACAAGTCTGGCCTCTTAGCTCCCGGGTAGGTGGAGCAGTGATTATAGCTCCGTTAGGATCAGGTAGGTCGATTAGAACTGCCAGTACCCAACAGGGTCCCCACCAACCTCAGGGGACCCGTTCAGGGAAGCATTCGCCTATACGAAATGGCGGCCACCCAGGGAAGCACTCATTAATTACTTACCTAGCGGTTTAACAACTATGTTGCAGATGCGAATGTTCTGATTGACTGGTGTGAACATTCCTGGGGTTTCCGGGGTGGTCCACGTTCGGGAGACAAATGGGTTCCATTCGCATGAGCATTGCTGAACTGTCAACGGAGCATTTTACACAAAATCCATAAAAATACATGGGGAAATGTACAATACACATGGAAAAATACACGAATAAGCAGTAGGCATGGTACTCGGTGACGGCGGTCCATCACAAATACCTCCTAGGTTAATGAGGAAGTGTTAATTGTGGCCGGCATGGGACAGACGGTCCCTGGTTGTTTAGGAACGGATTACGGATTTATAAAAATAATTGAACGGTTTCATGTTAACACTGTTATTTTGCATTCCTGCATTCCACCTATTAGAACTATAAAGGCATTGAGCGCATGGCACACGTTAGGACGGCCTGAGGCACCCCAGTGTGCACCTGCTCTAGGCAACAATAAAGTACCACTATAGGCACCCAGACCACTTCAGCTCAATGAAGCGGTCTGGGTGCCAGGTCCCTCTAGTTTTAATTCTGCAGCTGTAGACATGTTTTACTGAGGGTTACCCAGCCTCTAGTGGCTGTCTCACTGACAGCCGCTTGAGGCGCTTCCGCGATTCTCACTGTGAAAATCAGTGAGAAGACGCTGCACGTCCATAGGAAAGCATTGCGTGCGCGTAGCTCTTGCCATGCATGCGCATTTGGAGCTGACGTCGGCAGAGGGAGGAGAGTTCCTCAGCAAAGAGGGAGCCCAGCGCTGGAGAAAGGTAAGTGGCTGAAGGAGTTTTAACCCCTTCAGCCCAGCGGGAGGGGGGCCATGAGGGTGGGGGGGGGGGGCCTACTGACCTTATAGTGCCAGGAAAACGAGTTTGTATAGTGGTGCTTTAACATTCCAGGGTGCAGCCATGATTATGTTACTTAGTGTCATTTTTTTCCTGGTATATTTCTTAAAGATTGCTCTGTAAACACCAATCCTTCTAAAGAATGTTGCAAGGATGGAAGGGCCCCAACCAAGAAAAGAACGACCAAAGACTCTAAATCAGGTTAAAAAAAAAACAAATTCCTCAGAGTACTCTGTGTCTCCAGGTCAGACAGAATACAGCAAAACACAGCTTTTTATGTTCTGAATGTGAAAACATTATCTGTGACACCCTCTGTTTTAAACCTCCTAGCCTGTCTGACAGTTTAAGGTATTATCTTAAAGGGACATGCATCACTTTGAGACAGTTGTCTCATCCAAAAGCTTTAACTTGGAATTATTATTATTTTTTTTCATATTTACCTGCTTCTTTCTTATGCTCTCCACACCCACCTCATGGGGGACTGAGAGTCTTGTCAAACAATGCAATCTGAACACGTTTACTACATACTTCTCAACGTTTTTCTAGCTTTTTTTTTGGTTTGTATATTTGTTTAAAAGAGTTTGCTTGCTGGTTTAAAAAATAAATCATAATTGTCAAGTAATGCATGTTGTAACGAACGCCCCTTTTCCTGGACGTTAGCCATTGGCTCCTGGAGGAGTGTGGAAGCTGGCCTCCTGCCCACCAACTATGGGCCAGGTCAGTGACTGCCCACCAACTGCGGTCCTCCTGGTTCGGCACTTTCCATTGGTGCGCAAAGAACCGAACGCTAGCTCCCTGGCGGCCATTTGCATATACCAAAACCGCAAAAAGACTTCAGGGAGACTTAGCCACAAATGTCCTGGAACTATTTTCGGCATGAAGACTTCGCAGTTCCCGGTCAGTCCCCAGCGGTACTTAGCCGCTATTCTATGGAACTATTATCGGCTAGGGGACCGTGCGATTACCGGTTAACTTGGTTCTGCATTTTGCACCACTTAAAAAAAAAAAAAGAGCACTTTTTGGAGGGAATGTGCCTGAGACTATGGGGAACAAACGCTGCTTGCGATCCAGGCGGAACACCCTGTAGTTCGTCCGCCAGAGCCCCGGAAAGTTAACCGGCAAAAGCAACCAATGCTCTGGAACTGTTTTGGGCATAGGACCATGTGTGCAGCCTGTCAGAACTTGAACACGGTGTCTATTGCCCTGTACTGCATGCATCAATTTGCACAACTTGGGCGCTCAGATCAGGGGTGATTGAGGATGTATAATGTGTGCGGTTATTTTCTATTTTTATTATGTTTTTGGGTGTTTTATGATTTTGTGTATATTTTCCTGTAACTGAGAGCTAATCGAATTAATGTCCTTTAGCCTCCATTATCTCCCAGCTACAGGAATTAAGGGGAGGAGTATACGTATGAACCTGAAGGGAGACTGTGTATTGTGGGTGTGTTCTACATAATGTAATTATTGCTGTGCATTGTGGATAAAAGGAGGCCACTTGGATTAAACACGTCTGTTTTACCGCTTCATGAAGTCTAGGCTCATGTTTGGGAGATTGGAGAGCTCTAATCACTGCAGCACTACTAACGGATATACTCAGCCGCAGTATAGGGGATCCGTTACACATGTCCCTTTAACATTATGTAACATTACCATCACAGTGAGCTGGGGAGGCTATATTGCTTAGCGCACCCCTTTGAAATTTGCAAATATTGATTTCATTTTTAATTCGCAGTGCATTCTTTCAGATTGCTCCATAAACAAAGGTCTTGAAGAATGCGGCAAGGATGGAAACAAACCAATTGAGAAAACAAAGAAACAGGACTCTAGTTCAAGTGAAAAAAGTAAATTCCTCAGAATTCTGTATGTCTCCAAATCCGAATATAGGAGTGAAACATTGTCATGTTCTGAATGTGAAGACATCCCCTAGGGGGCTTCAGTTTAATTCTCTTACATTTCTAACCAGGTTGGCAGTCTGTAATCGGAGTAGTAGTTATATGGATCCAGATCTGTGCTGGCCGGTTTTAGCTGATTCGGGTATCTTTTTACCAGTACACACAGTTACAGTTTTACGTTGATTAATGTTTAATAGTTGTGATCTGGGTGGGATTCCTGTGTGTTGCACTTTTTAAGTAGTCTGTATTTGGTCTAAACTGAAAGGTGAAAACCAAAAATCCTGTTTGAATTATTGACTGAAATAGTCTATCCCTCTATTTGATAAGCAAATTATATTTCCTTTCCAACCCTAGCAGTATCATAAATTGGCCACGTCCCACCTCCCAGCTTTCAGGACGGTATAAAGAATGAGATGAAGTGGTCTAGGTGCTTTCTGTGTCCCATTAAGCAGCCCAGGTCAGAATTCGGGGCTGCCAAGTCACATATGCTTGGGGTGCAACCTGCCCTCGGCAAATAATGAAAAACATCTCTGGATGTGCAGTGCTTCAAGCAGAAACACTGCACCTTCAGACAAAAAGTACAAGTGGTCATGGTGGTTGGAGTAATACTTTAATAAGTTATGGAAGGATCATTTACCTTCAGCTCGTCTTAGCTACCTGATATTTTACCACCTTTCCACACAGGATTCCAATGTCACTATTCTATAGTCAAGAAACATACAGAAAATATGATAACACTTTTTCACCACCGTATATTTTAAGCTTTCATTTCATTCCAATACATTAGAACATAAATATGCTGATCCTTTTACTATCATAGCAAAATTCGATTCTGTTGCCTAGGATTATCAAAATCCTTCTAAATCCTCCTGGTATTTCAAATTTCCATTAAAGATATAGGTTACCGTTCCTGCTTACTCATGCTCTGATCTGATTTGACAATACTGAAGAATATGATTTGCAGAAGTAATTGGATTCTTTTTTGGAGATCTAGAATTCTGGAATATCTCATGCTTTAGAAAGGGAACAGCACCTAGAATCGTTCCTGGGACCTGATTTCTCTTGTGGATGCCCCAATTTGTGTCAGGGCCTTCTGTAGAACACTTCCTGAGAAGTTGGTCCCATGCAACCTCTGGAGTTGGCATCGTAGTAGGGGTACTGTTAGAAAACCTATTCTACTTTAATCCACTGGGTAGTGCTTAGGTCAGTTATAAGGCTGTAGCATCCATTTTGATGTGCTCTAACTCTACAGTGATGAAAGATATAAAACTGGTTCAGAACACTCCTGTGACGGAGTTCCTATACTCCAACTGAGTACCTCTGCCCAGTCTGCTCTCTAGCCTCTTTGCTGAGGCTTCACTGCGGTCCCTCTGGAGCTTTTCCACCCGACCATCGCTTTTTTCAGGCAGGTGTTGTCGTTTCTGCCTATTCCACTGCAGCCCTTCTTCCAGGGAGGTATCTACCTCTGCCTGCAATGTGTTCGATTGCCTTTACAAAGGCACTTGCGGCTCTCAGGCCTAGATCTTTTAATTTTTCCCAAAGGAACTAACATGCAATACTCTGGAATAGCCTACATGCTCCTTACATCAAACTTGCTGTGACAACTCAACAAAATACAAATAACCAAATTGTATCAGAAAACATACAGAAACATATAATAACATATTTATAAAGCAGTGGGGAAGACCATATTTAACACAAAATATCTCTCCTGTCTGCAGAATTAGCAATATGCTAATCTACCTGAATATGCAAATTAACAAGCATTGCTATTCAGGTAGTGCATATTGCTGGCTGTTGCTACTAACAGAGGGCACTACACGGGCTCCATAGCCAAATCCACCTACATAAATAGTCTGTCTGAAGCTCCTGGTGATGGTGACTAACAAGATAGTCTAGCTTTTGAGACCTTGCCTCTCGTAGCAACATGTTAGGCTCACTCATGCAAGGCGCCGGTTTTACAGTTGATGGCCACAAACCCTGAACCTGGGGCCGTGTTGAGAGGAGTGCTGGGATTTCAGACTGCTTTGCTGTAGAAGTTCTTTGCACATTTAGACCATTAATATATATCTCTGCACATACTGTGAAGTATAACTGCTCCAGGCTACTCATTCTTCGTTATCCTACCATAGCCAGCTCTTGGACCTCTGGTTCTAGGCTTGAAACCGAATTCATCTTGATTTTGTATTAACGTATTTGGTATCTTGCTTGCAGATATGTCATATGTATTCCCTGAATTCGGAACTCCTTACCTACAAAATTTGTCCATCTTTCCACCAGATAATTGTTACAATGATAATAAAAATTATTTATTTTAATTTGACAATTTTTTATTACGTTTCCAGGGGTACAGAGAAAAAAAAAAGGGACGATAAGGGGTGAAAGGAAAATATAACCATAAATATTGAGCATGGTAATTGATGTCATCAGTGCACATTGGGCGCTGATTGTCAAAAACATCCATAGCAAAGCATACATTTTACATTAGAGTAGAAACCGTGGAGTATAGTCGTACGGCCTGAGTTACAAATCTTGGATATCTGATATTATGCCCTCTGATGTGCAGGGGGGTAAAAGGGTAAGGGGGAAACAGAGACAACAACGAAAATAACAATAAATAGTCGTATACATGTACCTATTGCAATAAAAAGTGAGGAATATAACCAGTGTTCCAAAGTCAATGTGCTATCGTTTGTCTACGTAGGGGGGAGGGAGCAATGCAGTTCAGGTGCTTTCTGTAAGGGCCTTGGTGGACGTGTTGGGCATAATATGTCCTAATATAAGGGAGTATATGGGGAGCTATAGGACTTGTGAGGATGTGTCTGGGGCTGACTGCCAATGGTCCGGTCAGGGCCTCCATATATTGGTATAGTTCCGAACAAGTCCCCTTGCCCCCCCAGTTCTTTATAACCTTCGTATCGTCTACCCGACTAACCCAATGCTCCACAGTCGGGGATTGCGATTGTTTCCAGAGAGTGGGGATTAAAGCATTGGCTTCATTGATCAAAGTAAAGAACACTTCTAACCACTTTAAAGTGCAGTGCGTGTGTAACAATAAATGAAATGGTAATTACCCCTTTCATATAAAATTGGTCGATATAATAAAGAATTCCTCTATATCCTCAAAATGTTAAGATAAAATAGAAAAATATTTACAAAGAGAAAAAAGAAAACTCATATGGTAGTAAGGTATAAACCCCCAAAAGAGTTTAAGGTTACAAAAGGACTGCAATTTCAAGCTCCTCAATGCAATCTCGATTTTATGTTGACAGCTGAATAGCACATGCGAGGAAACAAAAGTGAAAATAGAGTGCAACACAGTAAATGTATCAAAACATGCACTTTATTCGATTGCACTCACAGGATAAAAATGTATGAAAAGCCCATCAACAAATGGTCCTGAGTCCACCAAATCTTGTCCCAGGATAAGTGGTGTCCTGGTCCAATATGTAGATAAGATAAATAGGAGAGCAAAATAAAGTATACATTAAAACAATATAATCAGCACAGCTCACGTGCCATTCAGCCGTCAACATGAAATCAACATTACATTAATGAGCTAGAAATTGCAGTCCTTTTGTGAGTGTAACCTTGAAAACCCTCTTTTTAATGTTTATACCTTACTACCCGATGAGTCTTCTTTTTTCATTGATCAAAAAACAGAATCATTTTTGTTGTGCTAGGTCAGGGAAGGTGCGAGGCCAGCCTAGTAGTGTTTGGGATGAGGTAGGGTTAGTATTGACTTAACGAGCTCTATAACCTGTGAGCAGAATGGCTGTATAGTTAGTGCCACCACATGTGTTATAGGGTACCCTCTTCCAAGCTGCATCTCCAGTAGAAACTCTCTATATTTGGGAAACGTTTCTGGAGTTGAGCTGGGGTTCTATACCATCTATAGATTCACTTGTAAAATCTTTCCCTTGTATTTAGGCTGATTGGTGTATTCAGCATTTTTTGGAGAATGTGTGACCATATGGAGAGAAGCGGCCCAGGTCTTTTGGAATGGCGTGAGAGCCTGCCCTGGTGAATCAGCTTTTAGAGTTTAGATAGAGATCGAAGTGGGTGATAAAGATGCTCACAGGGTGTCAAGTCCCTTGGTTCCCAATGGGGTAATATTTCCTTCTTGGATAAAAATGATTTAAAGTGAGTGGTTCAAATTTAGATTTAGGGTGTTTTTCTGCGGGATTAAAATAGTAAACATATACCTGTAAGAGAGAGCTGTGTAAGAAATAACAACCCTCTTACAAGGTAATTCTTTAGGGAATGTGGTCAAATAAAACACACAGAAAAGTGTATGTAAAAATAACAAATATATCGATATCGGTTGTTAAATTAGGTTACATTGTATTAATACATAGACCCTGAACACAAGCAGCCACAGAGCTCTAGAAACCATTACCAGACCACAGCATAGAAGCTACTGACAAAGTAATTAATTCCGAAGGCTTTTATGACGAGAGATGAATGGAGTTAATCAGTAAGGTGAATGATGCTTTATTTATGCACATAGGTAGCTCCATCTGTGTACTTTCATTAATGGAGCTATTGAGGACTGCTGAACTACATGTGCCATAAACATGTGCTGGGCAGGTAACTGTGTTGCTGTCAGGGTTAGTGTATAACAATGAGAACTGTAAAACAAAGTATTTTTATTATAGTTTCAAAAGACAGACAAATCTTTCATGTCAACGATGCAAATGTCATGTGGAACACTAGTTAAGCAAAACATTAACTTTATGCCTGGATGTAGAATGTCCATCCGACAACTGCATAAAGCAAAACCAGGCATAGGAATAATGGACTGTTACTCTGTTGGAGCCCAGTGTAGACTTGTACACAATGTACGGACATGCTTCTCTGTAGATGATTACATCCCTAGGTGAATGCTACTATGCAAAAGGTGTGATTTATTACTTGAGGTTATTTGAAGGAACAATATAGTGTTAGGAATATAAATAAGTATTCCTAATGCTAAATTGTTCTACTTCCTATTTAGATTCAAGACCTGCCTAAAATATATATATATATTTTTAAAGGGGTTTTACCCACCCTTTTTCCAGTGCCCAGACTCACTCTGTGCATCCACCCGACCCGCCTCCAGTTCCCGTAATCTCGGAGGCAGTCTCCACTTTGTCTTCTCGTGTAATCCAATGCTTCTCACCAAGACGTACTGGGGACAAGAAGCGTATTTTTCTCTGTAATAAGCATTTGGCGTTGTAGAACGCCCTCCTGCACTTTGCGAAGACACGTCTAATATCTGAGTCTTATTTGGTCGTTGCAGTAAAAACACCCTTTATCGGTTGTCAAAAAGGGGGGGGTGCCATGACCCTGGTCTGGGGACTGTGTGAGCTGTACGGCCGCACAGTGGCCCCATGGTAGTTAGGATGACGGGCGGCCAGAACAGCTCACACACGCTAAGAGCAGCTGAACTGGCCGCAAGGAGGTAAAGGGCGGGGATAATCAGAATTGGGGCAGAGCCTAACCGGCAGTGGGGGTGGGGCTTAAGACAGCCCTTACCCGCTGCTGTTACTGCTGCACATGGAGGTGCAGCAAGATGGAATCCCTGCTTCTTCACAGGCTTCAGGGAAGGACTTCAGTGAATCCACTCCTCATCCATCCCACTGTCTGTAAGTAAGAGTGTGTGACTGTGTGTGTAAAACTGTCTGCCTGTAACTTTGTATGTGTATGTGTGTGAGACTGTCTGTCTGTAACTGTGTGTGTGTAACTGTCTGCCTGTGACTGTGTGTGTGAGTGACTGTATATGTGCGTGACTGTCTGGCTATGACTGTGGGTGACTACCTGTAACTGTCTGCCTATAACTGTGTGTGACTGCATGTGACTATGTATGTGTGACTGTCTGCCTGTGACTGTTTGATGTTGCCTGTAACCATGTGTGTGACTGTCTGTGACTGTGTGCTTGTGACTGTCTGCTGCTGCTATGTGTGTGTCAATGTAAATGTGACTGTCTGCCTGTAACTGTGTGCATGACTGTCTGCATGTGACTGTGTGTGTGTGTGACTGTCTGCCTGTAAATGTGTGTGTGTGGAGCTGCAGGGATTTTGTAGAAGGGGGAAGGGGTTTTGTATTGGGACAGGAGTCTTTATAAGGGGGATAAGCAGGGGATTTGTGGAAGTGGGTTGCGGGGGTTTGTAGAAGGGGGCTTACAGGGGTTTTGTAGGAGGGGCGGGGCAGGACAATGTTTTTGTAGGAGGGGCTGACAGCGGTTTTGCAAAGTTTACAAATTTTTTTTTTTTACAGGTTTTTTTTTTGGGGGGGAGGTGGTGGACGTGAGGGGGTGCCAAGCACAGCATCCGCCCTGGGTGCCAAATGCTCTAGGTACGCCTCTGCCAGTAGGGATGTGTTTTACATTGCATAACCAAAACTACAGAGCTACTGCACCCAGACCACTTCATTGAGGGGAAAAAACTATACTGGTCCTTTAACCCCTTAAGGACCAAACTTCTGGAATAAAAGGGAATCATGACATGTCAGGTGTCCTTAAGGGGTTAATATAGTGGTTCTTTTATTTGTATACATCAGGAATAAGGTTGCAACAACAATCAAATAGTCATTGTTTTCATTTTTATTGCAGAACCCATGAATTTTGTGGACGAGCTACTCAAGAAGCCTTTCCAAAATATGACATTTCAGGAGAGGCTAGAAGTGAAGAGGTTGGGTCCTCACCAACCACACATTGTCATCAAGCAATCTTCAAAAGAACGAGGAAAAGAAATTAACCGCAAGTTTAGCCAGCAGTGGTTTGAGAAGAAGAAATGGCTTTGTGCAAGCATTTCCAAATCTGCCTTATTTTGTTTTCCGTGCCTGTTATTTGGTGGCGATGCTCCCTGGACCAAATCGGGAGTCACAGATATCAAACATTTGCCTGACAAAATTAAGAAGCATGAAGCCTGCACAACACACATAGAAAATTGTCTAAAGCTTGGAACTTTTGGAACAGTGGATATTGGAACCCAGGTGAATAGAACCTTTCTCATAAGCATTAGAAAGCACAATGAAGAGGTGGACCGGAACCGACACATTCTTTCAAAGCTTATAGATTGCATACGTTTCTGTGGTGCTTTTGAATTGTCATTATGTGGCACTGAAAAATCTGAATGGTCTTCAAAGAATGGGGTATATTTGGAGTTGGTGGATTTTGTTGCTTGTATAGATACTGCAATGGAACAACATTTGAAAACATCAGCTGTCTTTAAAGGCATCTTTAAAACTATCCAGAATGAGCTACTGGACTGCATGTTTGATGTGATCAGGCAAGTCATTCTACAAGAAATTAAAGAGGCAGAGTTCATTGCAGTGCAGGTCAATGAGATAACAAATATGGTAATAAGGACCCAGTCAGCTTTAGTGTATCGGTATATTCATAAAAACAAAGTCATAGAAAGATTTTTTGGCTTCACAGCTCTGGAAGGGTCTTATGCGGAAACAACTGCTGCATCTGTGCTGGAAAATCTAACCATGGTTTTTCCAGAGCCAAATGACAAGAAAAGGTTAATAGCACAAAGTTATGATGGAATTAGTATGAGGCATGGTGAATCTGGAGGATTGCAAACAAAGGTAAAGGACATATACCCAAATGCTCATTATGTACACTGTTATGCACACCAATTAGAATTTATTATTCAGCAAGTGGCATCCAAAATCACACCAGTGCGAGTATTTTTTTGTGGCTTATCAGCTATGGCAGCTTATTTTTCACAGTCTCAGCAGAAGACAGCCGTGCTTAACGAAGTATTAGGGAGCCGACGTCCAAGAGTTGCATCTGTACGTTTGAACTTTAACATAAGGACAGTGAATGTCGTCTTTGAACTCAAACAAGATCTTATCGATTGTTTCAAAGCAATATTGTCTTGTGCACAGCACTTTGATACGGCATCTGTCAGTGAGGCCAAATCCTACGCCAGGTTACTTGAAGATCGAGAATTCCTATACTTCCTTTATTTGTTTTGTGACATTATGACATATGTTGATTTACTTTACAGTCAACTCCAGAGAAGGGACATAGATAATGTTTTAATTAGTAAAGTGACCTCCGATTTTACCAGCAGCATACAGAAGATTTCTGACTCTATTGAGAGTATAGAAGGAAGACTGCCAGAGGTTTCAGCGCATGTCCAGCATAGTAGGGAAGACATTGCCACCTTAAATCAAATAGGAAAGCTTGTGTGTGATATTGTAATTGCTCATGTAAAGGAACGTTTTGCTTTTTCCAGCCACCTTGTGAGCGCCACTCTATTTGCACCTGAATTATTTGACAAGTATCTACTTCGATTTCCTTTTAAAACACTGGACGAGACTGTGAACAAATATCCAATGCTTAATAAGGAAAAGTTGCGCACGGAGCTGGATATTATCTACAGGAACAGAAAGTTTCATTGCTGCAGTGGAGCTGTGGATCTTTTTTTATTTCTAGTTAGAAATAACATTGACGACGCTTTTTCAGAGACCTGCACACTGTTAAAAATTTTAATTACAACCCCAATGACCACGTCAGAACCCGTGAGATGTTTCCCCACATTAAAAAAGATAAAAACATTTTTGAGAAGCGCTGTGACTGAGGATAGGTTGAATGCATTGGCGATGCTCGCTATTGAAAAACAGCTAATCAATGACATCCCACAATTTAACAACCAAATTATAGAGAAATTTGCTGCTTCAAAAAGTTACGGGGCACATTTCACGTACAAATCATGTTGAAGCGGCTTTGTCGCGGTCTGACGGTGCCTGGTCTGGTGGCTGCAGAGAAAGTTCAGTTATACTTGTAAATCAATGCCGCAACCGCCATCTTCTATCATCCTACCGGTCTTCCTCCGCTGCCATGAGCCCACGTCAATGTTGTACCCTCGCGCATGTGACATTGCGCTAGACACAGAACCTTTTAACCCTGCAGTAGTGATGGCTGGGGAAGATGACAAAACTTGACAGACACCTTTTTGGCAAGTTTTATCAGACGTAGAATAAAATACTAAGAAAAAGTGGGACATACTTTTGTCTTGGTATATCTTTTGACTGCGTTGAAATTTCAGAAAAATACCCACATAGTCAATGTGATTAGTTCATAAAGATTTTATCTTAATGAAATACTCCGTTTGGAGGCATGGGGAAGGTGGTGACTGCTCATTAAAAGGTTATTTGCTTTCCATCACTGTAAATTTAGTTTTAACAAAAATTAAAATAAAATAGTTTAAAAAATGTTAAAAAGCTTACACTTAGTCTGAGCATGAAACGACAAACATTTTATAATAAATGCCATTTTACACAGTAATTCGCTAAAAGTCAAAGGCTGTTTGGTTACACTTAAAATGATGCATATAGTGCCAACATACACGGCAGTGCTGTCACTATTTGATAGCATTATTACAACCATTATCTTCGGTTGAAATCAGCTGGATCTCCTTATAACCTGTGTGATTGGGTTTCCACAAACTCAATTGTATTCAACACTTTGTTCAATTCCTATGATACACACCTGTGCAATTGGAACCAATGCCACTCAGTCTCCGTAATGCACCCCGGAAACCAATTTAGTTACAAGTCAGCTGCTTTGTAGTTGGGCTCTGTTCACATTTTTATAACCTGGCTGCCGTAATCAGATCCATTTGTCTCGATTTGGTTACGTTTTGGTTGTCAATACTGTGAACCACCGAGAATTTTAACAACCGAATGAAGAATGGATCCAAATGAAATCAGCTGAATATGTAAAAGTAAGTTGGGAGTCTCCTGAATGGATCCCATAAGCTTTGTATTTGGAGTACTGGGAACCCAACACTCTGACTTGAGCACGCTAGTTTTGGTCTGCACAATCTAAGGAACTTGTGAATTCTGTTTTTTTTTTTTTTTTTTTACCGTCTAAAATTTAAACTTCTTTTTGAATTCCCGACAATTCACCCTTTAGTGACTAACCTTGTAGGTTTTAAAAAACAAACTAAACTGCAGTTGTCAAGAAGATAACTGCAAGTCTCTCAGCATCATGGAAATGTAATTGGCTTTGTAGAAGGGACTTAAAGGATCACTATAGGGTCAGAAACACAAACAGGTATTCCTGACCCTATAGTGAAAACCCACCATTTAGGTGGCTTGCCACCCCCCAGCCCATCAGAATGGGTTAAAACTCACCTCATTCTCACCTGGCCCGGCCTCTTGGTGACATCACAATTGCTGCTTTTTAGCCAATCCACTGCTTTCCCATGGGGAAAACAGTGGATTGGCTAAAATCGGCAAGGGGACGGGGCCAAACATTGTTTTTGCCAATCAGCATCTCCTCATAGAGATGCATTGAATCACTGCATCTGTAGCGGAGAGCTGGTCTTTCACAGGTTAACTCCACTAAGGATCCCAGTAAGGCTCAGGAACAAGTAATAAAATCCCATAGAACAATAGTCACAGCAAGTAGGTAATCCACGAATATCCCCATACGGATCCCAATGACCTTTACGACACACAGCATCAGGAGCAGAACTGAACTTTTAATCACTCAACCTTCTTTTAAAGCTTTCTGCCGTGCAAGGGAAGGATTCACATTAATTATACTGTACACCAATCATACATGAGTTGCCACCCACACATCCCCTCCCCTTAGTATGACTCATAATCCCATTATGCAGGACACAGTTCCCCTCATTTTCTGGATGTACCCCTACCTCTAAATGTTACATCCCCTGGTAGCCCTGATCTGGGTGAGTGACATATTCAAAAATCACCCAGATCGGACCAGGGGTTTGGGAAATTCATGAATGTAGTAAAAAGACCAACCACGCTGGAGGTAACAGCCGAAATTGGTTCCATACGTTTTGGTGCTGCGGTTGGTCACAGAAAAAGGGAATAAAATGCACGAATGGCTTGGGTTATGGAGACTGGGGAGGATTCGGATAAACGCCCTTGTTCGTGGGGTTCTTTCTACCGAACGGTGAGCCGTTCGGTAGTTTTTACACGAATTGCTGTTAGTGTGGAGGTCTCAGTGGTGTTTGCCTAGCCGAGTGTCCGATTTGGGTTCCAGACACTCAATGGCAATACACCGCTGTTCGGGAGTTTAAGATGGCCGCCGCCACGTGTTCGTCTCCCGAACGGCGGCCACCCAGAGGACAAAGCACACACTGCACTGATTGACAATTACCAGTTTGCAACATTGTTGTGAACGGTAATTGGAGGCACACTTACTCCTGAGGTGGTCTGATTGTTCGGTAGTTTCACTCGTATAATAACTGGAGTGATTTTACCGAACAATCAAACGAATGCTGCATACAACATACATACATACGGCAAAAGCATATTAAAACACATGATTTTGAGGACAGCCCAATGCCATCCGCTACAGCATCTCTATGAGGAAAAGGAGTGGCCACTTGGAGGTGTCCTTAGGGACAATGTAAACACTGCCTTTTCTCTGAAAATGCCTGAAGGGAGCTATGATACTCACCAGAACATCTAAATTAAGCTGTAGTTGTTCTGGTGACTATAGTGTCCCTTTAAAATCTGCTTTATTTGTTTTTATGCTGGTTGCGTGCAGTGATGATGCTTGGACCATGACAATGTATTTATACTTATCTCATAAATGCATTTCTTTTTGTATGGTGAGAGTACATTAAAACAGTTTGGGAAATAATGGATAATCTAAGCACCAAAACAACTTCAAGTTACTTAAAGGGACACTCCAGGCACCCAGACCACTTCTGCCAATTGGAGTGGTCTGGGTGCCAACTCCCACTACCCTTAACCCTGCATGTGTAATTATTGCAGTTTTCATAAACTGCAATAATTACCTTGCAGGGTTAAAGGACCACTCTAGGCACCCAGACCACTTCAGCTTAATGAAGTGGTCTGGGTGCCTGGTCCAGCTAGGGTTAACCCATTTTTTCACCTTCTATCAGACAGCCACTAGAGGGACTTACGTGTTCTTAGAACACGAAAAGTGTTTTAAATGACACTGGACGTCCTCACGCTATGTGTGGACCTCCACATCGCCAAAATCGAGGGACATCGGCGCTGGACTCCGAAAAGTCACTGAAGGGGTTTTTGCCCCTTCAGCAACTTGAGATGGGGGGGTGGGAGGGAGAGGGACACTACAGGATCCTGCAGTGCCAGTAAAACAAATAAGTTTTCCTGGCACTGGAGAATCCCTTTAAATAGGTTTGGTGTATAGATCATGCCCCTGTAGTGTCACTTCTCGAATCTCTGCCATTTTGGAGTTAAATCACTATTGTTTCTCTTTATGCAACCCTAGTCATACAGCCCTCTTGAAAAGTGGTTTTATTTTCGAACCACTCTTACAGCACAGTGTGTTTACTGTAGATGTTCTTATCGCCTGCTCTTTGAATTACATTTTAATTAAACACAGGCAGCTAAACGAGCGAAAGATAACATTTCTAAATTAAACACACTGTGCAATATGGGAACCCCAAAAAAGCGGTAAAGACACTTTTTCAGAATGAATGTGGGGAGTCTGTGTGAGTCTTTGCCAGGTGAGATGTGGCTAGGGCTGTATTTAACTCCAAATGTTAGAGAATTGTGCAGGGGCATGATCTGTACACCAAAACTGCTTCATTAAAGGGACACTATAGCCATCAGAACAACTACAGCTTATTGTAGTGTTTCTGGTGAGTATACTCATTCCCTGCAGGTATTTTCATGCAAACACTGCATTTTCAGAGAAAAGGCAGTGTTTACATTGCCCCTAAGGACACCACCAGTGAGCAGCACGTCCCCATTGAAGTTGTATTCGGTGGTGGACTGGGGTCATCATGGACACATGGGCGGATCTACAGGTACACCGCAAACTGCAATGCACTGTTTGTTCTGAAACCTTTCCATCATTGCCAGCAATTTTAGCTACAGTAGCTCTTGTGGCGAACAAACCAGACAGGCTCGCCTTTACTCCTCAAAAGTATTAATGGCCTTGGACGCCTACTACCCTAGTGCCAGTCGTTCTTTCTTGCACAACTCTGGTAGGCACTAACAACAGCAAATCTGGAATAATCCACAAGACTTGACGTTTTGGAGATGCTCTGGCCCAGTTATCTAGTCATCACTATTTGGCTTTGTTAGAGTTACTCTTTTTGCTTGTCTGTTTTTCCTGCTTCCACCATATGAATTTCAAAAACTGACTGTTCACTTGCTGTCTAACACAGGGGTCCTCAAACTTTTTAAACAGGGGGCCAGTTCACAGTCCCTCAGACACTGCTGGGGGCCGGACTAAAGTTTGACTTTTTTTTTTTTTTTTTTTAACAATTTCCTATACATAGTGAAACAGACATATACAGACATACATACAAACACAAACACACGTAAGGACATATATAAACACACATACATACATACATACTAAAAGACAGACATACATAGACAGACATATACAGTCTGACATGCATACATACAGATACACACATACAAACACTCATACACAGATACATACTGACATACATACACATACATGCATGCAAACACACATACTGACATACATACACACAGACACATGCTGACATACATACACATATATGCAAACACATACTGAAATACATACACACTAAACATACATACATACTGACATACACAGCAAATTATTCTTACTTCTTTTGCAGGTGGGTGGCTTTGGGTAATGGGAGTTGGTGTGGCTCTCTTCCCTCCTCGCAGCCTGTCTTTCTTCCCTCCCACGCGGAGGGAGCTGGGAGGAAGTGACTGGCACTTTGCGACTGCAAATTTTTAAAGGGGCCCGGTCGCACTATTGCACGGCCGCAGCGCTACCCGGGCCCCTGACGATATAGGGCCCACTAGGTGGCCCTGAATGCTTAGGCCGGACTCTGCCAGTGGCCTGTAGTTTGAGGACCCCTGGTCTAATATATCCCACATCTTGACAGGTGCCATTGCAATATTATCAATGTTTTATTTGTGAGTAGTTTTAATATTTTTGCTGAATAGTGTATACACACAACACACACCCCTCTACTCAGAAACTCATGTCCAACAGTCCTGATTTTGTGGTCCTGACACGCTGTCCCGATTTAGTTTCTTGGTGTCCAACATTTGTGAAACCAGAGAGCTGTCTTCAGGGCAGCATATTGCGAGCAACATTAGATGCACTTGTACTCTGCAAAGGGCAATGAAAGCTTCAGTAGCGCTCTCTGTAAGCTCCTGCAAACTGGGGTCCAGTCACATAGGACCCTTAAGTACTTCAGTGGGCAGTCCAGCCCCTTTTCCCCATTGGCTTGTGCTACGGACCGCCTGGCACCCTGACTGGGTACCTCCATCAATCGCTGCTCCCTAGTGCTTGCGAGCACCATAAGCACCGCACTGGAACACCATAAACACCGTAAACCCCACAAACAACCACAGCTTGGTTGAGGTCTCGCTGTCCTCCAAACACCCTGGACCTAAGAACAGGATCCAGCTTCCAGTGGGTAGACCTCTCCTAGTCCAGACAGTGAAGCACTCTGCTCTTCCAAGAGCAATCGTTGTGATCCCAGTTTTGTGATTATAGCAATCCCCAGAGTGAATATAGCTCTCCAATCCACCAAACATGAGCCTAGAATTCATGAAGGGTAAAACGAATCTGTTTAATGGCAGCCACAACTGGCCTTGTATGACAGTGCTTATGCAGTCCCCCTGGACCTGAGAGTAGACTACAGTAAAAACATAAACACTATTACATTCGCTCTCAGGTCCAGGATACTCCCATACAAATAGGTCAATCCCTCCTCTATGCCTGGGAGATAATTGTGTCAGCAATATATTAAACTCAATTATCTTCAGACACAGAAAACATACATTTTTACAAAACGCCCAAAATACCTTAAAACCCCCAAAAGTTACATCTCCTGATAGCCCTGATCCGGGTGACCAACATATCCAAAAAACACCCAGATCGGTTCAGGGCTTCAGGAATTTTCTGGAAGTCATAATTTGACCTACCACATGCATGGTCCCATGCCCAAAACAGTTCCAGAGAATCAGTGCTTGTGGTTGGTCTAGTTCGGTAGTTAAAAAAAACAAAAAACTACCGAAGAGAGTCAATAGTCTTACCTTGAAGCTTGTTACCCTTGTTTGTGGGAACGTTTCTACCGAACAGTGTCTTCCCAAGTGTTATAAAACCGAACACAGGAGATCATGGAAGTACAGCGGTGTTCGGGAGTTTCAGTGTCAAAAACTGTTTCATGAACTCGACGACCAAACACCGCTGCCTGTTTTCATGAGAAGAAGATGGCCCAAACAAACACTTAGAACACTGCGGTGGAAAGTGTTACAAAGTAGCAATTAGACTTAACAAGCTCCAGGGTGGTCTCCGGTTCATGCGCCTGTTCGGTTCCAAACCAAATATAAAATCCCACGAACCAAGCCTGTTCACATATTTTTTTTAAAGGGCCCATAGTCTTTTGGTAAGAAGTTGGCCAATAGGCCCCTCCAAGCACCCGTGATGAGGTTCAGTTTGTCATATTTCTCCCCCCTCCCCCCCCCCAGGGAAGACTAACTAGGTACCTGACCTGCTGCCGGTCAGTACCTGAGTAGGTCGGGCAGCCCATCCAACAAATAACTGACCTGGGGACCACTGGTGCCCGGGTCTGTCCTATATGTCGCAGGCTGCTGAATGTGTGTTCGTCGCTCCCGTTTTTTCTTGTACTGTGAGTACTTTGTGGGCCGGATCCAGCGGCGCTCTGCCCCTTAGCCAGAAATGCAGCCCGGTAGTTTGTAGAGTCTTCCAGTCCTGGACTGAGGATAAGGGGAGGACAGAGGCTAACTGCGTTCTTCCCTGAAGCCAGTGCTTCTGCTGGGGAAACTTGGGGACAGACCGGCTCTTTAGCAATATGGTAGGTGGGGTAGAGGCCGGTGGCACTCTGCCCAGATGCCAGCTCTTCCGCTGGTAGGGGCCTAGTGGGAACCGCTGTCTCCTCTACTATCACTAATTTTCTTTTCCTGGCTATTATTCATGGCAGCATACACTACCCACCCAGGGTTTTGCTTCTTCTGTAGGAGCTTGTTACTGACTGAGGGACCTATGCAGGGATACGCCTTTTAACCCCTTAAGGACACAGCTTCAGAAGCTTGTCTTACGCTTAAGGACAAAAGCCATTTTTGAATTTTTTTGCTGTTTGTATTCAAACGCAATTTGTATCTCTATCATTTATTGCACTAACACATATTATACATTGCTTTTTAGAGGATAAACATGGCTTTAATTTGATGTCACATATACATAGATACATTCTCATTCATTATATAAAAATGCCCCAAAATTTGTAAAAAAAATGAAAAATACATTTTTCCCACGGTTTTGGCAATAATAGCGCGTGCATAATATGTCCAGCTTAGAAAAAGTAATTCAAAATAAATTCATTTATGTGTCTTGATTTATAGAGTACATCATATGTGTAGGATTTCAGCTTGTTTTGAGAGCTACAGGTCACAAAATACAAGGACTAAAATAAAATTTCAATTATTATTATATATTATCATTATATATTATCACTATATATTATTATTATATATTATCACTATATATTATCCCTCTATATTATTATTACATATTATATTATCTATTATCACTATATATATTATATATTATCACTATATATTATTAATATCTATTATCACTATATTATAATATATTCTTATTATCACTATATATTATTATCTATTATTATGACTATATATTATAATTATCACTATTATATATCATTTATATATGATCACTATATTATTACTATATATATATTATTATTATATATTCTCACTATATATTATTATATATTATATATTCTCACTATATATTATTATTATGACTATTTATATTATATATTATTATTATTATTACATATTCTCACTATATATTCTTCTTATTATAACTATATATATTATTATATATTATCACTGGATATTATTATATATTATCATCACTATATATTATTACATATTAAAACTATATATTATTATCACTATATATTATTATAATCACTATATATTATTATTATATACTAGAAAAGCTACAATTTCTGGGGAAATTGTGTGAAGTGTTCTTGCCTCCACCAGTAGTCTACAACTGGAGTGGGCGGAGTAACTGTTATCATTTATATAGCACATTTAATTGCAACGTTGTTGCACAGTTACATTAAACCATATGGACCAATGGACGGCGTTGGTTGCAAACAAATGGTCATATTGTGAAAACTATCAGGACTACGGCTTAGCCGCTTACATGTTTAGTGGCAGCAGGGATAGCTGAACGTTTTGATATAAGATTTGTGTAGGTGGGCTGAAAATGAGGGAGTGGTGGCAGTTTAGAAATCATGTCCTGATTTTTCAGCTTTTGGCAGCTCCACTCTAGCTTTGCCATTCATTCCTATGGGACAAATTGCGCCACAAAAACGACGATATTCCGTGAACCATTCGGCGAAACGTTCCACAAAGTAATAGCAATCCGATCGGGAACAATCTGCACGTTTTGGTAAATTTTTGTCTATGTAGTGTAAAACTGTGGGAGGAGTTAGGGTGGCAAATTTTGCTATAATAAGAATAAGAACTAGAAAAGCTACAATTTCTGGGGAAATTGTGTGAAGTGTTCTTGCCTGCACCAGTAGTCTACAACTGGAGTGGGCGGATTAACTGTTATCATTTATATAGCACATTTAATTGCAACAATGTTGCACAGTTACATTAAACCATACATTTATAAAAACATTAGCTGGTGTTCAAAAGGCCCTGTCTATGACATCACTTGCTGCTGCAGCCTGACACAGGTCAGAGTATTTTGGCGGTTGCCATCTTCAAACGGTCGTATCTTAAAAACTGTAACTCCTACAGTGAAGAGCTTTATATTGTGAGAATCACAAGACCTAGACCTACATTTTGATGCATAGTATGTCTCTGAAGTATTAAAATTGAAGGCACAGTCGCAGTTTAGAAATTGCACTTCAAATTTGAGCTTTGTAGAGGGAAGTTTCAATGAATGTCAATGGACGGCGTTAGTTGCAAACAAATGATTATATTGTGAAAACTATCAGGACTATGGCTTAGCCGCTGACATGTTTAGTGGCAGCAGGGATAGCTGAACGTTTTGATATAAGATTTGTGTAGGTGGGCCTGAAAATAAGGGAGTGGTGGCAGTTTAGAAATCATGTCCTGATTTTTCAGCTTTTGCCAGCTCCCACTCTAGCTTTGCCATTCATTCCTATGGGACAAATCTCGCCACAAAAATGACGATATTCTGTGAACCATTCGCACGTTAGTGCACATATCTGCAATCTGCACGTTTTGGTAAATATTTGTCTATGTAGTGTAAAAACTGTGGGAGGAGTTAGGGTGGCAAATTTGGCTATAATAAGAATAAGAATAATAATATATATGTGAGATAACAATAAGTGGTCTTGCTATGCAAGAACACGTAATTAGCACTATATATTATTACATATCACTATATTTATATTATTATATATTATCATAATATATTATATATTATTATTACATATTATCACTATATATTATTATTATTAATAGTATTATTATTATATTATTATTATTATATATTCTTCTTATTATATTATATATTATCCCTGTATATTATTATATTATTATGACTATATAGTATATTATTATTATTATATTATATATTATCCCTATATTATATTATATATTATATTATTTATTCTTCTTCTTATTATAATGACTGTATATTATTCTTATTATATATTAAATTATTATATTATTATTATATTATGACTGTATATTATTATTATAATATTCTTATTCTATATTATCCCTATATTATATTATTCTTATTACATATTATCCCTATATATTATTATTATATTATTATATATTCTTCTTATTATATTATATATTATCCCTGTATATTATTATATTATTATGACTATATAGTATATTATTATTATTATATTATATATTATCCCTATATTATATTATATATTATATTATTTATTCTTCTTCTTATTATAATGACTGTATATTATTCTTATTATATATTAAATTATTATATTATTATTATATTATTATTATTATATTATTATATATTCTTCTTATTATATTATATATTATCCCTGTATATTATTATATTATTATGACTATATAGTATATTATTATTATTATATTATATATTATCCCTATATTATATTATATATTATATTATTTATTCTTCT